AAGCTGGCTAGGCCCCCTGCACGGACGTGCTAGGCGTTGAGCAAAGTAAGTCAGGGCGCTGGTTAGAAAGAACTGGGGTGAACCCAGGCTGCAGGGACCCTGGCTAGAGGGAGGCATGGGCACCAGGTAGCCGCGGTCCTGACCCCACCTGCTGCCCTCCCCAGGATGATCCCGGCGGACAGTCGCTCGTTCCTGTTGACCGACCTGGCGTCGGGCCGCACCTACGACCTGTGCGTGCTGGCCGTCTACGAGGACAGCGCCACGGGGCTGACGGCCACGCGGCCGGTGGGCTGCGCCCGGTTCTCCACGGAGCCCGCGCTGCGGCCGTGCGCCGCCCCGCACGCGCCCTTCCTGGGCGGCACCATGATCATCGCGCTGGGAGGAGTCATAGTGGCTTCCGTCCTGGTCTTCATCTTCGTGCTGCTTCTGCGCTACAAGGTGCACGGGGGCCAGCCGCCGGGCAAGGCCAAGGCCGCAGCACCCGTCAGCAGCGTCTGCTCCCAGACCAACGGGGCCCTCGGCCCTGCGCCCAGCGCGCCTGCCCCCGAGCCTGCTGCACCCAGAGCCCATACTGTGGTCCAGTTGGACTGCGAGCCCTGGGGGCCCAGCCATGAACCTGCAGGACCCTAGCGCCGGGCCCACCTCCGTGGTTCCTCTGGCCCCTGGACGGCAGGGTCCAGACACCCTTCGGGACCTGGCCTCAGACTCACCAAATTGTTCACGGTTTTTAAAACTCTGATGGGGAGGGTGACGGGGCACCGGGGCACAACAAGAAAGTCCTATTTTTCTAAGCTCGGGCCGTGCCCTTGCCCTTGTCTCTGTCTGTGGGGACCAAGGGGACACTGTGGGGGCTGCGGGTTGGGGAACCTCCTCTGGGGAAACTTCCTGGGGTCCAGCCTGGGGTCCCTGCAGAGCGGTTGAGCAGGGTCATCTAGAGTCATCCATCCAGGCCGCACAGGTTCTGGGGACTGCGCTGTGCTGTGGCTCGCGCTGGAGACTCTCTGCCCCAAGCTCTCGGTCTGGCAGGAAACACGTCTTTAGATGGAAGGTTCCAGGAGGAGGGCAGAGCAGAACCAGGTCGAGTATTACCAGGGTTGCTAGGGACTCCGGCGACGTGGCAAGTGGCATGGCTAGTGGGGGACAGGTATGGCTGGAGGTTGGAGCCAGGGCTAGAAACCAGGCTTAGCAGATACAGTGGTTCACACCTATCATCCTTGCGTCTCGGGGAAACTGAGGCAAGAAGATTAATTACAAGTTTACAGGCAGAGTGAAGGTACAGCATGAGGCCCTGACACCCCCCAAAAAAGACTCTGGGAGGGGTCGCAAGGTTGAACCACTGGGGTTTCCGTATTTAAGGAAGAGACAGACCCCTTTGGCAGCTGCAGGCAGAGGGGCAGGTGAGGTGTGTCCCGAGGGGCCGCAGTAAAAAGGTTGCAGGGTCTCAGCAAGAGTGTTGGGGGCGGGGGGGGGCGGCAAGTGCCACATTGAAGCGATCTGGCAGAGCCCTGGCCCGGGTGAGTCACTCTTGGCCTCACGTCTTTCCTGAGCTGGTCCCCAACTGTGTCATTGCCCCAGGGCCCGTCACATAACGGTCCTGGAAGTTTATAGGCTCAGACACTGGGCATGGGAAAGGCCAGACCTTGTTAGAGTCCAGGAATGAGGTCTGTAGCGAGCACAGCATCCCCTGACGGGTTAGCTTATCTGATGGCCGGGCCAGGTGGGAACACGGCGGAAACTAGGGCCTGTCAGTCAACCGGGGGCAAGCGGATCTGAGGATCTCGGTGAAGACAGCCCAAGTTTAAACTGGAACTCTCCTGGCTTGGTGCAAAGGCCGTTCCGGTGAGGTGACAGAACCTGTTTTCATGGTGGGACTTGAGACCTTGAAAATGTCCACCATCAACCAGGGAGACATGGCACCGGATCTGGCTCCCCGGCACTGGCAGCACCCTGGGGTCCCTTGTCATTTTGTCTGTTGAGTGGCTAAGACCGGGGGAGGTTATCAGCAAAGGTGAGGGCATAGGTCTTGGGCAATGGGAGCTAGCAAATGGGGGGAGGGCGGTGCCAGCTAGGAAATACCCGTTCCCACCCTGAGGGGGAGCCAGGGTGCACCGTTCCTAAAGCGGCCGGTTAACATTTGAACTGTGTGCTGGGCGAGGGTCCATTCAGGCACGAGTCCTGCCCTGCCCTGGCACCATCTGTGAGAGGCACAGGGATAGCATCCCGTAGGCACGGAACAGGGGTGCCTTGTGAGAAACAGCGGAGTGAGGGAAGCCGGGGATGAGATGGGGTGAGGGAACGGATATAATATCAAAGCAGGAACAGGCGGTGTAAAACCCACGAGAGGAGAGTGGGCTTCATTCTAAATGGCGTGAGAAGCCGCTGGAGGTTTCTTTTGTTTCGTTTCCTTGAGTCAGGGTCTCGAAGCATTAGCCCAAGGTTTGAACATGTTGTATAGCTCCAACTCCTTGACCTCATTCGTGACCCTTCTGCCTCAGCCTCCTGAGGGCTGGGATTGCAGGCATGTGCCCTCCACATCCGGAGGGTGTGGCCGCTGGGGGATTTTGAGCTGTGAGAAGAGTAGACTTCCTGGATCTCAAGGGAGCTCTCGTGGCAGACTGTGTGTGGAGGGCCGAGGGCAAGCAGGGTAACAGAAGAGGAAAGCAACAGTCCTGGCAGAAAGCTGACCTAGACCAGGCTAGACCTGAGGATTGCTGCAAGACGTCAGCAGGCTCTCCCTTCCCTGGGCCGAAGGGGACAGTGCTGACTACTAGCAATCGACCTGGAACAAAGGGAAGATCGTAGAGACTGCGGGACGAGGGCACAGACCCAGGTCCCCACAGATCTGACAGCTGATTTATCTGTGATACAGAAAGAAGGGACCTTTGTGAGGCCCAGTACAGGCAGCCAGCGGATAGGGGCCTAAAAGCTGGGGCTGATGAGGCAGAGCCAGGCCCAGTGAACAGGGCTAGGATGGAGACGCACACCCAGTGACAGCCTAGTACAGCTGTGGAAGCAGGGAGAGTGGAGGGTGGGAGGAGGTATCAGGGCAGAGAGGTCTCCCTGGACCTTCACAGGACACTCAGACCTCCACCCCCACCCCATGCGGAAGCAGAGGTCAGCAGCATCTGGGATCTAAGGCTGATTCTGTGCGGGCTTGCCCAGCTGAAGCTACCAACGCCCCGAGAGTACGGTGTCTGCTATCCACAGCCCCGCCCCTCTGGTAAAGCAGGTGCTCCGGGCAATCTGGGGCCCGAACCCAGGCTGCCGAGGTGCTGAGGCTGGGTGAGTGCTGTCTTGATCTCACGTTCTCTCTTAGTGGGGTGCTATTGTGCCTAGCCACGGATCTTGGAGGGACCGGGGCTGTTGTGAGTCCTGACGTCAGGCGATACCCATGATCCTCTCTGGCAGTCCTCCCTTGAAGCCAGGCTCCCACAGCCCTCTCCTTGGGCTTCTGGATGGGAGAGCCTGATAGGGAAGGAGGACCTGCTGAAGAAGGAGGTCTCCTCAAGGTAGTGGGATCCAGTGGTCCATCCTGAGGTTCCTCAGCAAAGTCTGGGCTCTCGAATTCCTGGAGGGGGTGTCAGTGCTTGGAATTTCCTGGGCCTTAGTGGGATTAGAACGTTGGAAACGTGGTGATCAATGGCCTGGGTCCCTGTCCTCTCAGGGCCTCAGCGCTTATGGAACAAGCAGATATAAATGGGTGCCAGGGTAGGCTGGGCTGAGACAGTACAGGCAGGAGGGAGGGTGGCCAGTTTTGTTTTCCAGCGTTCTGAGCAGGGTCCCACGGAGGCCAGAGTGGCCTTGAAGCCCTGGCTGTTTGCCTCTGCCTCTCAAGTGCTCTGCCACACCCTGCTGGTCCGGGGGAATGTGGAAGCCTATGGAGACGCCTACCTGAAGCTAAGGGAGCTCCAAGATGTGCCGAAGTCAGGATTCTCTGCGTGTCCTACGTGTCCTGTGCTCACAATGCTTCAATGTCCAGTTGTTAATGTCCTTTAGCCCAGGATGACCTTGAACTCAGTCTTCCTGCCTCTGCTGCCTCGAGTGCTGGGATTGCAGGCAGGCGCGAGCAGCCACACCCAGCTCTGGTTTTGAAATTCTTTAATACATTTTGAACAAGCTCATCACCATTATTTTCCTTCTTCCGCACCCAGCCCTTCAAAACTATGTAGCCAGTCCTGCCTGAAGAAGATGTTGAAGGACGGAGGCGAGTCAGCGTGAAGAGGCTCTCCCCAGCGCTCAGGAGGCTGAGGCAGGGGGATCTCCAGCTTTAAGGCCAGGCTGGTCCCAAAGTTCTAGGACAGCCAGGGCTGTGTCTGGAGGTGAGGGGAGAAGAAGATGAAGGCCTGCCCCCTTGAGGGACAAGCTGGAGGGAGCTGTGGCTGGACCGTTAAGTGGGAGAGTGGGCAGGGCAGCAGGCGACCGTGCCACCTGCTTGGCTGACTGTGTTGCAAAAGAGGGGGCTGAGCAGGGAGGGACAGCACTCAGTGTGTGCTTGGGAAAGCCACCTGACCGCTGTGGGAAGGGAGATCGAGGCTTGTGGCCAAGAACAGTGTGGATGGGAGGGGGCGGCCCTGTTTCCTGTGAAGAGAACTGAGAGTGTCCATGACTCGGAAGAAGAACTTGGGAAGGCCCCCAGGATCAGCCCAGAGCTTCATTCTCAATTGTAAGTTCTCGAACTGTGGGCGTGGGGAAGGAGCACAGAGCGGCTGCTTACACAATGTCCATGCTAAGTCCTGGAACATATAGCACTTAAGAACGCACTCGGATGTGCTGGTGGAGGAGAATGCAGAGCCAGCAAGACTTGGAGAACAGGGGAGTTCAAAGGATTTTACTCTGGCTGCATTCTGGCCCCCACTCCCTGAAGACCCTGGGGCACAGTGCACGCTCCGCAGACTCCTGGGTACATCAGCAGCCTCTGTCTGCTTCCCTCTAAATGCTGTTCCTGCCTGGGGCTGGGGGTGGACCCCTCCTTCATTTTCCATTCTTCTCAGCCTGTGTCTGGTGTGCTCATTTCAGACCTGGCTTTCCGTGATTTCTTGGGGCCCCTTTTCCTAGATAAGCCCCAGCTCCTCACATCCAACCTGCCACAGCTTCTTCGCCAGCTAGGCCCTCTTCCCAGTCTATATTCAGGCAACTCCTGAGGCCCCCTCTCCAGCCTCCTTTTTCTAGTTCAGCTCTGCTCTAATGCTGGCTTTAGCCATCTGAATCCCTCCCCAGGCCTCCTCTGGGATCCTGGCTTCAGCATCCAAACTCTGATCCAAACTCTTTGTTTGTTTTTTTGTTTTTGTTTCTGAGACAGGGTTTCTCTGTGTAGCCCTGGCTGTCCTGAGCTAGCTTTGTAGACCAGGCTGGCCTCGAACTCAAAGATCCACCTGCCTCTGCCTCCAGAGTGCTGGGGATAAAGGCCTGCCAGCACTGCCTGGCCAAACTCTGTCACCTGCATAAAAACCTCCGTGGCTCCCCAGGCTCCTGGCTTGTGGTCAGGGCCATTTGGGAGGCAGAGACAGGCAGGGCTCATGACTTCTGTAAGTCTGAAGCCTGGGATACACGGCAAGACCCTGTGTCAAAAAAGCAAACAAAATCCTTCACTTTGTACATACCCACCTTCCTCAAGTGCCATCTCTAGCATAACGTCCCCTCAGCTTAGAGAGGACTGTAACCATCCCCAGGAATCGGAGGCCCATCATACCTTCTTTTATACACCCTCATTGATGCTACTTTGGATGACGAGCCAGGGAAACGAGAGGAAGCTACGGAAGGAAAACTGGTTCCTTCTCCCTCTTCCTCTCAC